GAGAATTGCGGGTGCGGTCATCTTGCCAAATCTAGGAGGCATGATAAATGGCCGATTGACGCGCAATCATTTGAAGAACTGGTATGCCAATCTAAACTTTCCATCGTTCAGGCCGCCAAACTGGGTATTTGCTCCCGTTTGGACATCACTGTACGCTGGCATGGGCTATGCTTCTTACCTGGTGTGGCGCGACGGCGGCGGCTTCAGCGGTGATGCCCAGTTGCCCTTGATCGCCTATGGCACACAGCTGGCGCTGAACTGGGCGTGGACTCCGATATTCTTTGGCAAGCATAGCATTAAGGGCGTAAGTGGAAGCTTTGTAGTTGACTTAGTGTTCTATTCCTTATCTATTCAATGCCACCCATAGGGGCTTATTGACATTGTTGCGCTGACGGCAACGGCAGGCGCATGTGGACTGCTCTTCTATCGCATCAATCAGACGGCCGGTCTTTTGTTTTTGCCATACATGGCCTGGCTGGGATTTGCCACTACATTGAACTATGCCATGTGGAAGCTGAATCCTGAGCAGCCCAATCAAGGTGAGCAAGCTGCTCCGTCGCGCAAGCAGCAATAATTGCTGATTGATACAGGTCATAAGGTTTTTGTTTTAAAATGTTTATTTTTCGATAGAAAACGTAATCGTCACAAAATAAAATCGCATCGGCTTTATCGATAAGTTGCAGAGTCGCATGTGCGGCATACTGTCCATCATTCTGCTTCTTCATCTTCGCCGAACGTTAATTTTTGAAAATGCACTGAAATCATATTTAGTTGGCGCCACCGCCAGGAGCTGCAGTAGGGGTCGTTGGTGTGCCTGCTTTTGGGGAGGCCGTCTTGGGCGAAGCACCCGCTTTAGGCGATGGCGACGCCTTGGGCGAGGCCTGCGAATTGGGCGTGTTGGCCGGTGTCTTCGGTTTGCCATCGTTCTGTCCACCAGCCTTTTGCTGCTGTTGTTGAGGATTCGTTTTAGCACCAGCTGGTTGCTGTTTTGGTGGCGAAGCCTTGTTTCCCTTGCCCTGCTGCTGCTGCTGCTGAGCATTTGTAGGTTTTGGACCACCTGGCTTGGAAGCTTGAGTTTCTGGTTTGGGTGCAACCGCGGGCTTGGCCTGTTGTGGTTGCTTCTGCTGTTGTGGTTTGTTGCCACCCGAGTTCGCTTGCGATTGCTTTTGACCTTGTGGTTGTGTTTGGGTAGGCTTTCCCTGTTGCTGTTGTTGCTGCTTTGGCTTTTGGGCTGTGTCCTGCTTTTTATTATTGGGTGGAGCTACTTGTTTTTGTGCAGGAGCTACTGGTGGAGTTGCTGGAGCTGCTGTGGGAGAAGCTGTTGCTAGTGAAGTAGCTGGAGCTGCTGGGGGAGCAGCGGCTGTTGGTGGAGTAGCTGGAACTACTGTAGGACCAGCAGTTGCTGGTGGCGTAGCTGGAGCTGCTGGGGAAGCAGCGGCTGCTGGTGAAGTAGCTGGAGCTGCTGTTGGACCAGCAGTTGCTGGTGGAGTAGCTGGAGCTGCTGTTGGACCAGTAGTTGCTGGTGGAGTAGCTGGAGCTGCTAGGGGAGCGGCTTTTACTGGTGGAGTAGCTGGAGCTAATGCTGCAAGGGGAGTTGTTGGAGCTGCTACTGGTTTCTGTCCCGGTGTTGTTGCTGGAGCTGCTGTTTTTTGTTCAGGTGCAACAGTCGGAGCAGCTGTGGCTGGTGCAGTAACAGGCGCTATTGCTGCTGCTGTTGGTGCTACTACTGGAGCTGAAGCTGGAGCTAGAGGTGCTGGTGGAGCTGCGATAGGATTTGAAGCCGGAGCTGCTAATGATGCTACTATTGGGGTTGGAGCTGCTGATGGTGCTGCTTGTGGAGCTGGAGCTGCTGTAGGTTGAGTTGCGGCTTGTGCTGCAGATGCTGCTGGCTGCACTGCGAAGGGAATAGCAGTAGCAGAACCTACTGGCGCTGGTACTGCAGCTGTTGCTGATGGAGCAGAGACCACTGCAGCTGTTTCAGGTGGAGCAGCAGCAGGAGTTGCTGGGGGCGTCACTTGCTTTGCCGGTTGAGGCGTCACTTGCTTGGCTTGTTTTTGAGCTTGTGATGGAGCTGCACCTTTCTTATTTTCCGATTTCTTCTCCTGCTGCGCTTTGGCTGCAGCTGGCTGTTGTTTCAATTGCTCCACTGGAGTTTTAGCCTCAGCTGGCGGCGAAATCTGCTTTGCAGGTGGTGGTGTCACTTGCTTAGTTGTTGACTGCTTGGGTGGAGCGGCCTGCAGAGGGCTGGCTTCCTTTGGCTTAGGCTCCGGTGCAGCAACTGTTTTCGGCTCCTGCTTGGTGGCGTCTATCTTCACCTCCGTTTTTGCTGGAGCTGGCGCTGGCGCTGGCTTTTGCTCAACTGGCTGCTCAGCTTTTTTCTCTTCCACGGGCTTGAGCGGCTCAGCAGCTACAATTTGGGCCAATGTTATAGCTGGCGCTGTATTGGTCTTAGCAGCTGGAGCTGGTTGCGGTGCTGAAGCGGGTTGAATTTTTGGCTCAGGAGTTGATTTCTTCGCTTCCACCTTTTGATTATCTACAGCAACGGCTGCTGGTTTGACCTCCGTCTTAATAGCATCCAACTGATCCTTTTGCTTATTGTTCTGCGGCTCGTCCTTCTTTTCTGCTGTCTCCTGCTTCTTGGGCTGGCCTTTCTTATTGTCCTGTTTATCCTTGGGCTTCTCATTCGTATTGTTGGGCTTCTGTTGTGGTTGCTGCTGCTGATGTTGTTGCTGTTGCTCTGGTTGCTGCTGCTGTTGTTGCTGCTGCTGCTGTTGTTGCTGCTGCTTCTGTTGCTGTTGTTGTTGCTGCTTCTTGCGCTCCTGTTTGCTGGGTTGCTGTGCTTGCTTGTTGTCCACTTGCTTGTTCGCCTTCTTTGCATCCTGGGGCTTCTCTGTGGCAGGCTTTGGCTGCTGATCCTTGCCCGCAGCTGCAGCCTCCTGCTTGGCCACCTCATCGAAGTCGCCCACCAAGTCGGGCACGTCGTCATCATCGTCGGCCGCCTGAGCTGTCGCTGTGCCGCTATCAGTGGACTTTTGGTTGTTGGACATGGAGTTGGCATACATGCGCAGCTGCACAACCGTCTCTTGACCGAGCTGTGGCAGAATCTCTGGCAGCATTTCGACAACCTTCTTCATTTCGCCGTGACCCGTGACGGCAAAGGTGTTCGCTGAGAGCGAGGCCTGGGCCTTGGGATTGTTGAAGTGTATGACCGTGAGGTCATCCTTGATGATGTTGACCTCCTCGATGCCGGGTATGGTGCTCACCGAGAGCTTCTTCAACGAGCTCTGCAGCTTCTTGTCATCGGTGGCCGCCGTCTGGTGCATGACCTTCTTTTTGCGACGGGGCGTGCCTTTGCCACCGATGCGCACCTGCGCCTGCAGTCTCTTCAGCTTCTCCACATTCATGGCGAGTTTCTAAAGTATATTCATATAGATATATATTTATATACATATGTATTAAAATATTACATAAAATTATCAAGAGATTACCTCAAATATATCTATTTAGTTTTTGATCTGCTCCTCCGACGTGCAACTCCACGTACGTAAGAGCCAAATGCGAATAAATGCAGCCGGGGCAAACCGATCCGCAGCATAGAACGACCGACCGACCGACCAGCGCCCAAAGCCCCAACCAAAGCAGCGCTGCTTTTATTAATAACGCAACTCGGCGAATCTTTCGCCTGCTTTATTTCTGTGGCACTTTTTGCATTTTTGTTTTTGCACGCAAAACAATAAAAATAAAATGCGAAAGCGAAAAGCGAAATACAAAAATGTCGCCCGACTATATAAATAGCCCAGATTCTCTGCCATGACAGGCGGCAGTCGCTGCTACGATTTGTTTAGTTGCCTGCTCAGTGCTCTGCAGCTAGCCGTGTGGCAAAAACCAAAGCAAAGCAAACGAAACCCCAGTTTGCAGCATCCTCAACGGCTGTTGAACTATTGGCGACGCACTGGACACGCAGACGCATCCGAGGCAGTGCGTCAAAAATAGACGAACTACAATCAACACACACATGCACACAGGTCAAACTTTAAATCTACGAGAATGAATACATAGACATGTACATATATGTTATTTATACATACATATGTATATAGATATATATTTATATATAGGAAATGCGTGTATTCAATTAAATTCACTTATAGCTTAAGAAACAAGAGAGAAAACTGATATACGTAATGTCGATTGGATGAATACACTTGCAGACCAATAGATGATAGACAGAGCTTTGGGATTTCATATATGATATATCCCATAATAAACTATTGCAATATATAAGATATGGGTCTATTTATAGTAGAGCTTGTATTAACAAATGCTTAGTACATTTCGAAATCCCAAATAGTTTGGGTTTGTTCCTATGACAGCTCTATAATGTAGCTACCCAAGCAGTGCCTCTTGGATGTACTAAAAGCCAAACAAATCTGTGTTAAGTATTGCAAGAAAAAAATTTAAGCTTAAGAGAACATGTTTTCTACAGAAAGAGTGATATGTAGGCTGAACAATTGCCAATTCGGAAATAAAATTATCTTTTGTACATTACAATTAGGTATATGGCATAGTAGGAATATATTCAGTGAATTCCTAGTTCAACATATGTCTACATAATTTGTTATATATATCTTAAATACAAACAAATGTATATATATATATGCTGAATATATACAAACTATTTTCTGTCGTTTTTACATTACACATTTAACAATATAATTAGAATGCCCAACTAAAAGTGCATGCAAATGACGCTGTTCGTTGGGAATTATAGTTTTGTTTTGAAGATAGAGTACAGTAGAAGCTCGAAAGACAGAATAGTTATTATATTAGAATGCTAAGAGTTTTAATTTAATGTTTGGACTTCAATAATTGATAAGATTTTTGAATTGGCAAAAATATACTTACATAGAAATATAACAATACAGATATAGACTTGATTGTATTCATAACTATAGACATATAACTATCATACTGCTTAAACGTAAAATACTTAATGTTTAGAAAGCATGATTAGGAGCAACCTACAAGAGTTTCTGATCTTTGGCCACACGCATCGCGAATTTGTATATCTTTTTGATGTCGGAATTCGCACAAGCAGCATAAATTTGCTTATGCATCTCCAGCTCCTGTTGCACGAGCGGCTCTATGTCTCTGTACTTATCCTCCTCTGCCTTTAGCTCAGCCAGCATAGCCAAGTTCTGGAAATGTTAAAGTAATTATTATTACTATTGTACAAAGATTAACAGATATTAAAAGGCAACAACCTGGCGATAACGCAGCTTCAGCTGTTTGACCTGTGCAGCCTTTGCCTCTTCCTCTTCGCTAGTGAACCGCTGTTCCAGCTCAAAGTCTTTGATCTGCAGTACATGTGGAGGCACTTCAAAATAGACTTTATCCATTTCACGCAGGCCATCAAGTTTTGGCTGACAGGCTTGCATCATTAGGCGAATGACAGCATCCTTACTCTGGTCCAATAGTGCAGTTGTAGCTGGCGTTTCAATTTTCTGAATTGTCGTCTTTACAGCCCGGCCGATGAGCGCTAGAACTAGACTGTCCCCTAAGAAAAAATATCAAACTGTTTAGAAACTCGTTTATTGTGTTTTGTACCACCTACTTTCAGCAGCTATCTGCTCTGGCGTGAAGTTAAAAAACTCCACATTGTAGGTACTCTGATTGAAATCCATTGCTACTGTTTTATGTATTATTTTATTCCAAACAAAAACGTAAACAAAACGACGCTTAAATTGCGCGTATTAAATACAAGCCGATAAGTCGAATAGAGGGATAATCAACTTGTTATCGATATATTGTTTGAGAATAGTTTGTCCAGTGTGATTAATAATCGTTGAATTTTAAATATATAAGACTGTTTTATATATATTTTTTTATTGGAATTCAAAAGCATTAACAGAATATTAGAATATTATTTTGCTGTCCAAATTTTTTTAAGCTTGTCTCATTTTAAAAGATTAGATGTTTATTCATGAAATCACTTGAAAAATACTAAATTTAATACCAGTTTTAAGTGTTGTACAGTGCATAAGCAGCGAATGCCCGCCAGTTAGATCCACTTGTTGTGATAACCACATGTAATTCATATTGGCGCTAACTATATTTACTGCTTGTCAAGAGCAGCATGATTGCAAAGTCAGCATAATTAAAATAATAATTCGTCATAAAGATTAGTTTATCGCTATCAATGCGTCGATGTTCCTCCCGCGTATTTCGTGCGCTCACCCGCACCTTTTCCACCAAACAACAAATTGTTGTGCATCCAGACGTGCGGCATGCCTTGGCCCAAAAGCAGCCTGTCGTGGCGTTGGAGTCGACAATTATAACGCATGGCATGCCAATGCCCGAGAATGTGGAAACGGCCCTACTTGTGGAACAGGATGTACGTAAGAATGGCGCTGTCCCGGCTACCATTGGCATCATTGATGGGTGCATAACGGTGGGATTAACACAGGAGGAACTTATGGAGCTGGCGCGTAAGCCTCGTGAGCAAGTTATCAAATGCTCACGCCGTGATCTGCCCTACGTAGTGAAAATGGGTCAGAGTGGTGGCACCACTGTGGCGGCCACCATGATTGTAGCTCATCGTGTTGGCATTCCCATCTTTGCCACTGGCGGCATTGGTGGAGTGCATCGTGAAGGTCATATCACGTTGGACGTGTCCGCGGATCTTGTCGAGCTGGGACGTACGCCGGTGGCTGTGATTTGCAGCGGCGTCAAGTCCATATTGGATATACCGCGTACGCTCGAGTATTTGGAGACTCAGGGCGTCTGTGTGGCCACCTATGCAAGTGAGGGTGGCGTCTTTCCTGATTTCTACACGCGCGACAGTGGGTGCAAGGTTCCCTATAATCTACCCACCGCGGAGCATGCTGCTCAACTGCTACGTGCCTGGCAACAGCTCAATCTGCAGTCCGGCGTACTCATAGGAGTGCCCATTCCAGCGGAGCATGCTGCCGATAAGTCGGCTATAGATGCGGCTATCAAGCAAGCCAATGCCGAAGCGTTAGCTCAAGGCATTACAGGAAAGGATGTAACACCTTTTTTGCTGGCACACATCGCCCGGTTGACCAAAGGACGCAGCCTGCAGGCGAACATAGCGCTGATACGGAACAATGCATCGGTAGCCGCACAAATCGCCTGCAAGCTAGCGAAAGAACAAAGTTCCACTTCAAGCCGAAAGAGTTCCATGAAGAAGCCTTTGGTGGTGGGCGCTTCCATACTCGATTTATCCTTCAAGATTACTGAGAAGCGAAACTTGCATTTGGATGGCGCCACGTACGCAGGAGTAGCCAAGCAGGCAGCTGGCGGCGTTGGCCGCAACATAGCCGAGGGCATTTACAAGCTGTATGGTGATGTTAATCTCATCTCGGCTGTCGGCAGGGATCAGTTGGGACAAATACTGCGCCAGCTGATGCCGCAGACCCTGCAAAATGGCCTCATTGTGGATGAGAGCCACGCCACATCCCTCTGCTCGGTGGTGTTTGATCAGTCAGGCGATTGCAAACTCATCCTGGGTGATATGGAGGTGCACAACAGCATCACGCCGCAGTTGTTGAAGGAGCGATCTAATCTCTTTCGAGATGCGCCCCTCATTGTAATGGATAGCAACATTTCAGAGCAGGCGATGACCTGCACGTTGGAGCTAGCGGAGCGCTACCAAGTGCCCGTTTTCTTCGAGCCCACTGACATGTTTATAGCCGGCAAGCCATTCAAGCTACGTTCAGAGCTCACGCGGCACATTCGATTGACCAAGCCCAATATGCACGAGCTCAAGACCATTGTGGAGACCATCACGGGGCAGTCTGTCAACTGGGAGCCGAATACGAAAGTGGAACGCTCAGAGCTTTTGGCGCAGGCCAAGCAGCTACTCCACCAAATCGAGTCCCACTTCAACTGCATCATTGCCACTCTGGGGGCGCACGGTGTGCTGCTCAGCATTCGTTCCGATGCCGCCCATGATACGAGCAAGCTACTCTCACTCTCGCCCAGCTGTGAGCACATCACGCACTTCTATGCGGCACCAAAGCTGAGCAACATAGTCAATGTCTCCGGCGCCGGCGATAGTTTTTGTGCAGGCTTTATCACAGCGCTGCTTAGGTCGCACAGCCTGGACGAGTGCGTCGCAGCGGGATTTGTGTCTGCCGAGCGAGCTTTGCTCTCGGAGTCGGCGGTTCCGTCCACGTATTTCCAAAACGAACTGGCATTCGAGAGCAGCCTTCGAGACGCTTTGCAAACGCTGCAACGGCACATCCTCTAAACTAGACTGACAGGCGGAACGCGAAGAGTTGAACTCGGGGTTCTAACTTTATTGTTTAAATACATGTATAAGATTATATCGATGCTCCATGGCAAAGTGCGTCAATGGGCCCATCTGCAAGAATGGCAATAAATGTGATTAATGTTGACCTGAATTTAAATTGATAGATTCTTTTAAACTTACAGCTTGATCACCTTGTCCTTGCCGCCGGAGGCGACACGCGAGCCATCGGGTGCCCAGTCCACGCCGAAAACTTCGTCCGCATGGCCGGGCAGCTCCTGTGCCAGCTTCTTGCTCTGCACGCTCCAAACTATAGTGTATAAATATAAATTTTATTTAATATATGCCTAGTCGATCTGTCATATAAGCAACAGGTTTACCCTTCAGCGTAGAGTCCTTGCTGCCGGACACAATCAGACGCGAATCCGCCGACCAGGCCAGCGTGTACACAGCCTGCACATGGCCACGGAATGTGGCTATAAACTGGCCATCGTGGGCGCGCCATAGACGCACGGATTTGTCGAAGGATGCGGAGGCGATCAGTTTGACATCCGGTGAATACTTGACATCGTTCACCACATTCTGGTGGCCAGTCATGCGTTCCACGCACTTGTTCTGATTGTTGCGCCACAAGTATAAGGTGTTGTCGTCGGAGCAGGAGACTAGCGACTCAACATCATCCGGGCAAACGGCTTGGTAGCGTTTTAAAGCGGCTGCGCGTAGCTCCTCAGCTGAAAATGGATTTGATTTAATACGGCGATACGAGAGATACGCCGCGTCACTCACCATCCTGCTTGATCTGTGCCATTTGGCGATCCTTGACCGGCTGAAAGGGTCCAGTGCGTAGAACGTAGTCTGTGCTCAGCGCAATGTTGTTTACCCAATGCGCATGGCCAGTGAAGGTGCGGCAGAGCACGCCATCATCGGCACGCCACATCTTGATGGTGCGATCCTTGGATGAGGTATAGATTAAGCCAGCTCCACCCCAGCGCACAGCTGTCACTGCGTTCGTGTGCCCCGCAATGTTGAGCAGACACTGTCCCAGCTTGGTATCCCAGATGCGGCAGTCACCGTCGCTACTTGCCGAGGCAAGCTTGCGGCATTCTGGATTCTTATGATAGGGCTCCCAGCTGAGGCAATTGATGTGCTTCTTGTGTCCGCTGAGTGTGCGGCCCACCTGGTGACCTGTCTCTGGATCCCAAATAATAATTTTTCCTGCCTTACAGGCGCTCGCCAGACGCTTGCCATCCGGCGCCCAGGCGACGCACAGCACCCACTGCTTGTGTCCACTGCAAGTGTAGTGCGGTGTCTCTGTATTGAGATCCCATAGGCGCACTGTAGTGTCGCCACTGCCACTGGCCAAGTGGGCTCCATTGGGGCTAAAGTGCAGTGACACAATCGCCTCTGCATGGCCTGGCATAGAGCTGGTGCAACGCGTCACAGGCCGAACCTTGAAAACTGCCTGTGGCTGATAGACTATATCGATCACATTTTCCGTGTCCACTGTGCTTAGGTCTATTGTCTCCTCCAGTGACTTCTTGATCTCATCCTCGCCAACGAAGAACAGATAAGGCGTCGCCTCCTCATTCTTGAGCAATGCATTGCAGATGAGCCCCAGTTGCTGTGTTGTGATGCCCGACGGCAGATCTATGGGTGGACCCGCTTCCTCGCCTGTGTCGGATATGAGGCGTGCTTGCAGTGTGTGCGGCGTGGTTAGCATCTGCTCGGTTTGATCTTCCATTTTCTGCTTTTTGGCCAACATTTTGCGATGTGGAATGTCGAAGCAGCGCGAACGAATCAAAACAACAAAATCAAAACACGTGCGCTACTCGACTGCTGGACTTAACAGAAGACGAAAGTGTTAATAACAGTGGGAACAGTTTTCAGAACAAAACGATTTGCATTAGTAAGAAGGTAGGAAGTACATAAGGTAGTCAATGCTGACGTAGTGTTAAATAACTTAAGATCTTTTTTAAAATGCATTTCACCGAAAAAAAAGTTCAGTCGCATTTCATTTTTAAAATAACCGCTGCAGTCTTTAACAGTGCTATGCGAGTATGCACTAACACTGATATCGAACATCGACTGGAACCCAATAAAGTGTTGTATAATGTGTCTTATATGTAAGTATTTTACAGCACTGTCGCACAATTTTCATGTACGCGTTTTTCATACGTTTATTGCCTAAAAATTGAATAAAATGGAAAATATTCCGCGTACTCATGAAGGTAAGTAAATATAATGTGCAAAACAAAAGGCGGAACAACTCAGACTAACATGTATTGCTTGTAGCGTGTTTAAAAGCACTCCGAGCATCCGTGCGGCGCCCGAGTTGTTTCCGCTATGCCGAGAAAATCAATTAATATTTTAAAATCGTGTTACAGATATTGAGGCGCAAATATCGGATATACAGGCCAAGAAGACTGAGCTGGCTAAGAGCAATGCAGCAGCCGCCGGAGTTGGTTTGCTGGACAGTGGCGGCTTCTTTGACACCGACTTGTACGACGATGAGGCGGCCGTAGGAAAGGGGGCCAAAGGCCGTTATGAGGGCTACAATACGTCGATAGCGGCCAATGATGAGGATGGCGATGAGGATGAGGAAGACGATGGCTTTCCAGTGCCGCAGAAGCGCACCACATACACGGCACCCACGTCCGTACTGAAGGATGTGACCCAGGGCAAGGAAGACGTCGACCCAATGGCTGAGCACCGGCGACCGACCATAGCAGATCGCGAGGATGAGTATAGACAAAAGCGGCGACGCATCATCATTTCGCCTGATCGTGCCGATCCCTTTGCTGATGGCGGTAAAACACCCGATGTGGGTTCTCGCACCTATACAGACATTATGCGTGAGCAGATGCTAAAGGGCGAGGAATCTGAGCTACGGCGTCGCATCATGGAAAAGTCTAAGGAAGGTACACTGGTTAAGTCCTCGAATGGGGAGTCTGTTACAAAAGAAGGTGGACGCAAGCGAGGACGCTGGGATCAGACCGTCAGCGACAGCTTCATTCCCGCTAAAGTGGCAGCCACGCCCAGCAGCGCTGCAACGCCTACCTGGGAAGACGTGAGTAAACATAAAGTAACCGTGACACTGGACGCGTGTAACTGAAATCTATTTTTCTTACAGAAAACGCCTGGAGATCATCGTTGGGATGAGACCCCTGGGCACAAGGGCAGCGAGACGCCGGGTGCTACGCCTGGACTGGGCACACGTATCTGGGATGCCACACCGGCACATGCCATGACACCCGGCCACGAAACGCCTGGCCATGAGAAGTCGGCACGTAGAAATCGTTGGGATGAAACACCAAAGACGGAACGCGAAACGCCTGGCCACAGCGGCTGGGCAGAGACACCAAAACCGGATCGCACAGGAAGCGGGGCTGGTGAGAGCATCTCAATCGAATCCACTCCGGGGGCCTCCAAGCGACGGTCGCGCTGGGATGAAACGCCCTCGAATGCAACGCCGGCAATTACCCCGAGTAATGCCAGCGCAATGACTCCGAGCATGACGCCTCATGCGACGCCTGGGCATGCTACACCTTTGATGACACCCGGTGGAAGTACGCCCGTGGGCGTAAAGGCAATGGCCATGGCTACACCTACACCAGGAGCACTAGCTGCCATGACACCGGAGCAGCTCCAAGCCTATCGCTGGGAAAAGGAAATTGATGAACGCAACAGACCCTACACTGACGAGGAGCTGGATCAAATGTTTCCGCCGGGCTACAAGATATTGCCGCCGCCTGCAGGTTACGTGCCACTGCGAACGCCTGGTCGCAAGCTGATGGCCACACCAACGCCCATAGCGGGCACACCAGCTGGATTCTTTATCCAAGTGGAGGACAAGAATGCCAAGTTTATGGACAACCAGCCGAAAGGCCAGAATCTGCCATTCATGAAACCCGAGGATGCCCAATATTTTGACAAGTTGCTCGTGGATGTCAACGAGGATGCTCTCTCACCCGAAGAGCTCAAGGAGCGCAAGATTATGAAGCTTCTGCTGACCATTAAGAACGGTTCGCCGCCCATGCGTAAATCGGCTCTGCGCCAGATGACAGACAAAGCGCGTGAATTTGGGGCCGGACCGCTGTTCAATCAAATTCTACCGCTGCTCATGTCGCCCACCCTGGAGGATCAAGAACGGCATCTGCTAGTGAAGGTCATCGATCGCGTGCTCTACAAACTGGATGATTTGGTGCGTCCGTTCGTGCACAAAATCTTGGTGGTCATTGAACCGCTGCTAATTGACGAGGATTACTATGCGCGCATTGAGGGCAGAGAGATCATCTCCAATCTGGCCAAGGCAGCTGGTTTGGCCACCATGATCTCCACAATGCGTCCGGATATTGATAACATTGATGAGTACGTGAGAAACACGACTGCGCGTGCCTTTGCCGTGGTCGCCTCCGCATTGGGCATACCCTCGCTGTTGCCCTTCTTGAAGGCCGTTTGCAAGTCCAAGAAGTCCTGGCAAGCTCGTCACACGGGCATCAAAATCGTCCAACAGATTGCTATACTTATGGGCTGCGCCATATTACCACATCTTAAGGCGCTGGTGGAGATCATCGAACACGGACTAGTCGACGAGCAGCAAAAGGTGCGCACCATCACGGCCCTGGCCATTGCAGCGCTGGCCGAAGCAGCCACGCCCTATGGCATTGAATCCTTCGATTCGGTGCTTAAACCCTTATGGAAGGGTATTCGGACGCATCGTGGCAAGGGATTAGCCGCCTTTCTCAAGGCCATTGGTTATCTCATACCCCTGATGGATGCCGAATATGCCAATTACTACACCCGTGAGGTCATGTTGATTCTTATACGTGAGTTCCAGTCGCCCGACGAGGAGATGAAGAAGATTGTGCTGAAGGTGGTGAAGCAGTGCTGTGCCACAGACGGTGTGGAGCCGCAGTACATCAAAGAGGAGATTCTACCGCACTTCTTCAAATTCTTCTGGAATCATCGCATGGCACTGGACAGACGCAATTATCGCCAACTGGTGGACACCACCGTGGAAATTGCTAACAAAGTGGGCACCTCCGAGATCATTAATCGTGTTGTAGATGATCTGAAGGATGAGAATGAACAGTATCGCAAAATGGTCATGGAAACAGTGGAGAAGATTATGGGCAACCTTGGAGCGGCTGATATTGACTCCAGACTGGAGGAGCAGTTGATCGATGGCATACTCTATGCCTTCCAGGAGCAGACCACAGAGGATGTGGTCATGCTGAATGGCTTCGGTACCATTGTCAATCAGTTGGGCAAACGCGTCAAGCCGTATTTGCCACAGATTTGCGGTACGATTCTCTGGCGTCTGAACAACAAATCCGCGAAGGTGCGTCAACAGGCGGCGGATCTCATCTCCCGCATTGCTGTGGTCATGAAAACCTGCCAGGAGGAGAAGCTGATGGGCCATTTGGGTGTGGTGCTCTACGAATACTTGGGCGAGGAGTATCCCGAAGTCTTGGGCAGCATATTGGGCGCCCTGAAGGCAATTGTGAATGTCATTGGCATGACCAAGATGACGCCACCCATAAAGGATCTGCTGCCCCGCCTCACGCCCATCCTCAAGAACAGACACGAGAAGGTGCAGGAGAACTGTATCGACCTGGTGGGTCGCATTGCCGATCGTGGTCCGGAGTATGTGTCAGCCCGCGAATGGATGCGCATCTGCTTTGAGCTGCTGGAGCTGCTTAAGGCACACAAGAAGGCGATTCGACGCGCCACCGTAAACACCTTTGGTTACATAGCCAAGGCGATTGGCCCACACGATGTGCTTGCCACTCTACTGAATAACTTGAAGGTCCAAGAGCGTCAGAATCGTGTCTGCACCACCGTCGCCATTGCCATTGTGGCCGAGACATGTCGCCCATTCACTGTGCTTCCGGCCTTGATGAATGAATACCGCGTGCCGGAGTTGAATGTGCAGAATGGTGTCCTGAAATCGTTATCCTTTCTGTTCGAGTACATTGGCGAGATGGGCAAGGATTATATCTATGCAGTGTGCCCGCTGCTCGAGGATGCGTTAATGGATCGCGATCTGGTGCATCGCCAGACAGCCTGCTCGGCCATCAAGCACATGTCCTTGGGCGTCTATGGGTTTGGCTGCGAGGATGCGCTCACACACTTGCTCAACTATGTGTGGCCCAATATATTCGAGACATCGCCGCATCTGGTGCAGGCCTTCATGGACTCGGTGGATGGCCTGCGCGTCTCATTAGGTTCAATTAAGATCTTGCAGTACACGCTACAGGGCCTGTTCCATCCGGCGCGGAAGGTGCGCGATGTTTACTGGAAGATCTACAATTCGCTGTACATTGGCGGTCAAGATGCGCTCATTGCGGGCTATCCCCGCATCACCAACGATCCGAAGAACCAGTACGAACGCTATGAACTGGACTACACGCTCTAAGTAGCCCTACTCTACTCCTACCCCCTTCTCTATAACACTTAATTTTACTGTAATTTTGATAAGATGAATACACAAATATAGCACGAATGTACAAAACGAGTATTTATTCTAAATTTTTGTTTAAAGTAGCCACGTGTGAGCCGTTGTTACTGTGGACCAGAGCTGTAATATATATAGTATATAATTCATTACCAGGAAATATTTTTTTATTAGCAGAAATTTCAAGTCGACAAACGTAAATTACTTTTTATTACTTGATGCATCGTGTTTAGTTACCAGCAATTACTTGCAAATTTATGAAATGTATGTAAATGGTATGTAATTCAGTTTATTTTAATTCTGTAATTACTTTGTGTAAATGCAGCTAATTACTAGTAATTACGTATGCCTACTACATTGGTAATTAAAGTTTAATCTACGTGTATGCAGTTATTTTATAATTACTTTTAAAATACATAATTAATTCTTTAAGTACAATTTTGACTTCGCTACTGAGCAATTGTGAAGTAATTATAATGAAATTTGATTTATCAAGTAATTTTTAGTTTGCAAAATTGTCTTTTCTTTTCAACTAGTTAATTACAGCTCTGCTGTGATCTAATCTTTTGGCTTAGTGGTAATACAAATGTGTGTGTGTGTGTGTTTTGGACCCGCCGGCTGAGCAATCTCTCGGTGCGTGTTATCGGTGGAGCATCGCCTCGACTATATCGATGAGGCTCTGTAGCCCGAACATATAATTGTGATCGGGCTGTGCATCCTCGGCCGGGAAGATGTGAGCGAAATCGATGCAGCGTACGCGTATCCATTCTTTCGATTTGGTGGGCAGGACAGGCTCGGCGGCATCCGCATGGAAGCCATTGTGCAGCGACACTTTGGAGTTGGATGTGGCCAACTTCTGTAGCTGCTCGAAGTCGTAGCAGATGAGCAGAGAGCTGGCGTAGAAATGAAATAAACGCTGTTGCTTAAACCAGGTGCGTATGGAACGCAGCTGGTTCAGCACCTCGTGGAGAAGTACATCGCTGGAGCTGCAGCTGGCATTAAAGAAGAGGGCCAATGCCTTCTGAAAGCCCATCACATCCAGGCTTTTGCCATAGTCTCGACCCTTGCGAATCAGTACAGTTTGTTCGGGTTGCTCTTCATCCGGGCAATAGACCTGAAAGCCGGGTAGGCATAGCCCCAGATTTTGTTTGCAAAGCGCATACTTTTGCTCCTCGATGGTGCGCTTTTCCAACGATGACAATGGATCCCAGGTGCGTCGGCCAATTTTCACATCCATGACACACGGCTTGGCCATGCCGTGTGTCAAGTCTTCTAATTTGATAAATGTGTGCTCACGCTGATTAACAACCAGTTTGAGTTGACCATAATAGCGGGGGACGTGAGCTGCTAATGCGGCGAGCAGTGACTGATCCGTTTCGCCTTTCCCCTCACCACCTGCACCATTCAGGTTATTGGCACCGGCGTCTGCCTTGGCTTGTGTCGCAATTGCCGCCGCCAGTGACTCATAGAAATTGAGTTCACGTACGCCGCACTCAGGTTTGCCAAGCGGCTTGAAAACGCAGCCCTCGCCAGCGTCTTGGAGCAGCCCGACGGCGGCTGCATTGGTCGCTTCGAATGTGTGGCCTGCCACCTGGGTGAGCAGCTGAGAGTAGCCCATGGGTACAACGGGCGATGCTGTTACCTTTTCTTGTGCTTTTTTGGCCATGTTCCGTCTGTCTGGCACTCAAAATCAAAGCAACAGCAACAACTGCAACAAAAACAGCGCAAAAACCAGAGCAGTGTTGTGAAGTGCGCGGCTGATTATAATAGTGGGTTTTTTTTTGTGGCTGAGCTCATACAAAACTGGAAGTCAAGTGATGAATGAAAATAATTAATTTTTTAACAATTACAAATATGTCTTTAGTTGCAGTGCAGCTTTTTACTTATGGCGGCAATTTATGAAAATCAGTGCTGCGAAATCTGTGAAGCAACTTGTTGTGCATTTATCGTTATCGAGCAGCATCTATCGATATCGGACGCTGCTGTTGTGGGAGTTGTCCAATTTGTGTTGTTGCTTTTATACGCACATATTTTCTAAGTTTATTTACCAATTTGTTATTGCGTTTTACTGACTTAGCTTGCAAAACTGCGAGCTGCATCATGAAATCCTGGGAAATAGCTGTGCTGCTGCTAGCGGCCGTGTATCTGTGTAGTCAAGGTAGGTCTATCGCCACACCTTAATTAAGAAACGAACGCAATGACACATGTGAGACAATTTGCAGTGGATTTTGTGCAGGGACTTGAGTGCTATGTCTGCTCCAACCAGACGGGCAACACAGAGAAGTGCCTCAACACGATCAAGACCTGTGAACCGTTTGAGAACGTCTGCGGCACTGAAATTCGCTGGGGCAGTCAACCCTACTTCTCGGAGGGAGCTCTCAAGCAATACTACGTCTCCAAGCGCTGCATGACTAAGGAGCAATGCCAGTCGAAGCGCCGACGCTACATGCAAATGTATTGCACACACATCTGGTACGAGGACTGGGCGTGCAATGAGTGCTGCCAGGGCGACAGGTGCAACTACTTCATTATCGTAAGTTGGGCGTTGGCCTAGGCTCGGACTCTTTATTAATATGTTAAATCTTGCAGAGCGGAGCGACGGGTCAACAAAGTCACATGCTTAAGTTCTTAGCTCTGCTACTGGGCCTGGGATTGCTCATAAGACGCTGCATCATGCCCTAGAGCTCAAATGAAGCTAGTTTCCAACTTTTTCTTCTACGCACATTCACATTCCAAGGAAACTAAGTAATCGTAATTGTAATTGTAATGTAAAACCTTCTCATTTTGTCCACTAGTTAGTAGTTACCACTGTATGCCGTCCATAGTATGTACATTTTGTATGTAGCTGACAAACTCAAAGTGCCTTCACACTCTCTGTTTTATTTGTATATGTCTGGCTTGTTAAAGTTTTTCGTTTATATTTAAGATTGCAAATGATTTAGAGATTGCAATACATATATGCCAACTTTATAAACATATCTAATTATGAGCAGTGTAAGCTATTAGCACAATTCACAAAGTTTCAAAGTAAGCATATGTTATTTCACAGTAAAGCTTAAGCTGTTTTTTTTTTGCTGCTGCTAAGATCTTTGCAATCTCGAAATTTTAACTAAAACTTTTACTTGTCCTTATTAGATTTTAGTCCACGAACTCGAATCATACGAAATTCTCGAAGATTTTTAACACAAACCTCTTTTGGGTGACGATTTTTGAAATAGATAAACGTACAAAACAGCTAAAAACTAACGGCGTTTTCTTTAAGCGGCTTCTTGTGCAATTGTTTAAATGTTATATTTCATATATGTATCATCATAATAGTCATTCATTTAGCTAGTTGGTGCAGAAGCAACCCGCAGTGACAGTCACCGTCTTGAATTGCCATTGCCAGAGCTGTGTCAGCTCCTCGGGCATCCACAAGCGCGCCGATGAGGAGGCCGCCTTTGGTGTCACCTGATCTGGGCCCAGGGTTAGGACTTTCACCTTATACTCGAGCGGCTTGCAGTTGGAGCCGTGCATGCATTTGGCATCCTGAGCTGGACGGGACTCGCAGATGGCGCTCATCAGATAGCGTGGAAACGATGTGCTGCCCAGGTCAATGAGATCGTTCTGCATTGTCAGAGATTTATATATTTATTGCATTCGAGATATTGGGATATAGACATATACATATATATTCTCTCGTTAGCCTTACCATAACTTTGCAATCGCAGCCGGCGGCGTGTGCATCATTGCGTTTGCTGGTCATCAGATCCTCGTAGAAATCATTGTAGTACATCGGCGGCAGCTGGTAGGGCGACAGTGCCGCCTCCGTCGGACGTGGGGTGGGCGGTATAGTTTCCGGGCTGGCTGGCCGGCCAAAAAGCGCATTCAACATCTTGGAAGTGCTCTGATCAGCTTCCGTTTCGACTGCATCAACTGGCAGCTCGTTGCCGTCTCTGCCGCTGTCGATGCTGCCGCCGCACTCTTGGACGCCGAGCAGACGACTGCAGCGCTTAGGCATGCTGCGGGCGAGCATTGGGGCAGTCAGCTCGTCGTAGGCAACAAACCGATTGCTGCTGATGACGCAGCGCAGCGCCAGCGCCGCTAGCAATGTGGCCATCTGCAAGCAAATTGTTTCATTAATACACTGGGAGAATAGCGAGTGGTATTGCTAGAAGAAATTTTAATGAAATGAATGAAATATATACTAATATATAGACATACATATGTGCACATATACATTCTTACATTTTAGATTTCTTTCGCCAAGAATCTGAGCTCGGTTCAGAAACGAAATATTCGTTTTAAGTTTAAATATTCTTCTTAAATGCAATTTTCATCTTACGTTTTAGAGTATTTTTCCTTCCTTTGGAGCCTTTTAAACTTGTATACAATATGTCCCAATATCTAATTATATTTAAACAATTTGAATATTGAAAATTTAAGAGGAAAATTCATAATTTGGAATGACTTTAAATTATTTTGAGTTGAAACCTTCTGTGAAAAAACCATACTTGAGTTTTAGTGTTAGTTTGATTTTAAATTTATTAGAACAATAATTTTGAATAAAACTTATCTTTTAAAATTACGCAATTTTTTTATTTAATTTTAATTTATTTTTAGTAATATTTAAAAAAATGTCTGCTCACATTTAATGGCATTAATACGTAAGACTTTTTTGTCTTAAAATATTAACAAGTGAAGTAAATTTTGATCACGCCCGAGTTTAATTTTAGATTTGAGAGCATTTAACTTAAACTCATGCTTAACGCGTTTTTTAATCGAAATGGGAAATATGAAATTGTTCAATACTCTTCACTATTTGCCGTGTTGGACTCACCCAGAGCATGGCTGGAACCGAGCTGCTGCAGAGTTTGGCTACGTTTGCGACTCTGATGGCGTTGGTGGGGCGTTTATATAGCCGCTGGGCAGCTGGCCGAACAAAGGCGGCCAAATGCTCGGATTACCTTTTGTGTGGGCCAGGCATGTCCATTATGGYCCGTCACCTGGACAGCAGCAGCAGCAGCAGTAGCAACAGCAATCGCAGCAACAGCAGCAGCAGGAGCTGGCACAGCATCCGAGCAGCTAAACAAAAGGCTCAACTGTTGACATAATAACAAAAGGCTCTGGTGGCTGGGTGGAAGCTTCAGTTTGGGGAGCCTCAAGTGTGGAGAGCCTATTTATAGCTGGACACTGGCTTTAAGTTTCAGCTATTTGAAGTGTTGATGTGTATGACCAAAAAAAAAAAAAAAAAAAGAGGAAGAAGAAGAAAATATGAAGAATCAGCAACAAATAGTGGGAATACCCAGTGACCCAGACATTTGCAACCACCAACCGCCCAACCACTTGAGCAGCCGGCAGGCTAAGAGCTATGAGCTCATGGACTGCGCGTCTAGCACTAAAAACTCAGGTGCATTTCTAGCAGCCCCAAGGGGTAGGTGCTAAGAGTGCGTGAGTATGTGTGTGCGCTAGTATGTGTGTGAGTGTGTGTGTGTGTGGCAGCTAGTTGTGGGGCTTCACTGTATGACGAGAAAGTCGCGCAAACGCCAATCCACCCAGCGGTTCGTCAGTTGAATGCGCGTCGTTGCTCCGTACGGTGGGGCGCAGTTATATATAGAATATATACGTATATGCATATATATATATTATCATCTATATATATATGTGCGCTTACAGTTGGACATGCACTGGCAGGCACGTGCAAGCGCTGCTCAAACTGTTTGCGTGAAGGAGTTAAAGGCCAGGACGATTGCCAAAAATATTTCCAGCTGAATCAAAGTTTCTTGCCGTTGTTGTTGTTGATGGTGGACCGCGTACAGTTATCCGCTTGACTTGGTGCAGGGGCGGAAGCCCTAGTTGTGTTGCCCCCTTGTTCTTGTTGCTGTTGTCGCTGGAAATCGTTAAAAAGCATAGAAAAGTTGCGACTATGTCACGAATTGCCGTCGACTAAAAAAACAAAAACCAAACAAAAAAAAAAAAAAAAAAAGAAATCGACTCACGCTTGAACAGCAAAGAGAGAACCGTAGAGCAAGTTACAGCCCAGTTGGCACTTAGGATACGCATGGACAAAGGCACAATGAAGCGCAAGCAGCGTCGATACAGGTAAGCCAGGCTGATAAGGGATACAGGTGATACAGGTGTGTGTGTTTCATGATTGCGCTTGATTCGCAGAACCACATTCAATACACTGCAGCTGCAGGAGCTGGAACGCGCCTTCCAGCGCACTCACTATCCGGACGTATTCTTTCGCGAGGAGCTGGCCGTGCGCATCGAGCTGACGGAGGCACGCGTCCAGGTCTGGTTCCAGAATCGTCGAGCCAAATGGCGCAAGCAGGAGAAGATGGGCGGCGAGTATGAGAAGGGCGCCGGTCTCGAGCTGGATGTGGCGTTCGATGATAGCGCCGTGCTGGGCCAACTGGACAGCGCGCTGGGTGAGTAGCTGATGGCCAGATGATCATGGCTGATCTCGTCTAATGCATCTTCAAATCAGCAGCTGGCGGTGGCACGTTGCTGCCAGATACGCCGTCGCAGTCTTCCAATTCGCTGGACAACGAGCTGAAGGCGCCCTTTGGCACCGGCTGTGTCTCGCCCTCCCGGCTGTCGCCCAACATCTTTCTCAATCTGAACATTGATCACTTGGGCCTGGAGCGTGGCGGCAGCGGCCTGTCCATGGAGTGGTCCACCTACCCGCCGTCCACAACTACCGCGCATACCACACACCAGCATCAGCAGGAGCAGGAGCAGGAGCAACAGCAGCAGCAACAGCAGCAACAATTGCAACAGCAGCAGCAGCAATCGGAGCAGCAACAGGTCTGCACGCTGCAGCATCAGGCGCTGGCTAGCGCCTTTGGCGCCTCTCTCGATCTGGATCTGAACGATGGCTCCTCGGCCTACGATGAGATGAAGTTTCTCAGCGTGGATCAGTTCACGATCGACAGCTTCAAGGCGGACTGCATACTCAGCATGGAGCACAGCCTGGCGCTGGATGACAAGCAGCAGCAGCAGCAGGAGCAGCCGCCGCATTCGCTGACCAATTCGACGCCCTTCGAGTCGCAGGACCATGTTGCACTGCACTCGCTCTGCCTGGACGGCATGGGCGTTGGTTTCGGCGGCCTCTCGCTGCTCTCCTCCCACGTTACGGACGTAGTGGCTGAAGCCGCGCCCAAGTCGCCGCCATCGCTGCTGGTGCTGGACAAGACGCTGCCCTCGCTGAGCATCGGTGTGGATGGCATCAGTGAGCTGGTGGAGCAGCTTCAGCAGCATCAGCAACAGCACCAACACCAACACCTACATCAGCACCAAAGCCAACACCAGCATCATCATCATCCGCATCAGGATGTTGGTGTTGCCGGCAGCAATATAGTCTAATCGCGAAATTTGGATTAACTTAGGCGAATTCACTATCCATAGTTCATGTTGTATGAGTCTAGCTATAATTTTTGGATCCATATGCTCTTTTCAATATTTGATGTACGTATTATCATGGTATCTTTAATGTTGTCCGATTTCTGATTTCGTAGAATCCTGTTTATAGCGTTCATCCGGTTATTGCGAGGAAAATTCTATGGCTTGGCTACTGTATATATTGGGATACACAATGCAGACAGCTCTACCACAAACAAGATAATCTACATATGTATTTTATATATCTGTGGTCTTCGATCTATTCTTGGCAAGGAATATAGGCATGAAGTGATTGTATAGTATATATAACGTATTTATCTTCTTCTTTATAAAATTTAAGTCTAACTTTGGTTTCGTTCTTTGGATATAGCTAATCTTATGCTATTCCAAACTAAATGCTTAAGTGGTATTCTTTACAAAAATTGGATATCATATTTTATATACTGTAGTTATTATTGAAAAGATCATTTCATCTTCGGCTAAGATCGAAGTCAAACTTAATTTAATTCCTAGGTCATTTACCTAGGCGAATTCTAAATATAGTTAATGTTATGCCATTGTAGTTATGATTTTTAATTAACATGCCGGTGTGAGATATGTAATATATAAATTTTGGTAAGTATTCCTAACTAGAGTTTAAATTTCAATTTAAAAATCGCTTTACCTTTGCATTAGGTTACCTGCCAAGGACATTAGATATTTATCCTTTTTAAATTGCTGTTATTGTTTTTATTTATAAACATCTTTTGTTTTCACAATTCGAGTGCCTTGAGGTCTTCATTTTCTACAATTGCGCATCAAGCTATAAAACGAATTAATTCATATACACTGGGGGCTTGAGTATACTTAAGAGGTTGAGCATTTTAAACAGGTATTTCTGTGAATTGACTTGGGCTTTCAATTCTAGCGAATTGAAAATTTGAGCCTCGAGATGAAAAGTAATACAAATCGTATTTAGATACTCTATATATAGAGTGCATGAGTAGGAGATATGAGCAGCAAATTCGAGGAAAATCTAAAAAAGTTTCAATAATCGGAAAACCAAAATGAATTTATTACCTATCAATTTAAAAATGAGTTTAAAATTATGTTAGGCATAACTTAACAATATAACCCTACAATAATTTCTATTATTGAAAGTGTTTCAGTAATTTGAGTCAAGTTTACTTTAATATGAAATGATTATTGTGAATATTCCTGCATTAATTATCCCTATTTTCTTTCTCCTTACTGTATATCTCTCTGTGCCTCCAAGTGAAATTCATTTTGAAATAGTTTTCTCTGGAAACCTAGCTGCAATTCTCTTTCTATTTATAAGTTTTGACGCCTAATGCCAGTTTTAAATGTACATAAAAAAGCCTGAGACATGTGCTTACAGTTCAGCTAGCAGTCATTATCGCTCTCGCTCTCTCTCTCTCTCTCTCTATCCCTCTCTCCTTCTCCCTCTTTCACTCAGTGCCTTCGCAGGCTTAGCTATGCTTTCTGCCATACCTTGAGCTGTTATCGTGCCTAGCTCCTGCTTCTAAGGATTCCCTTGCACACACAACTGTCTGCGTGTGTGTGTGTGTCGTAACAAAGGACACCCCACACCATGTTTCATTTGGTATTTGTGGGTCGGATTAGAGCCAAAACTAATTGTATGATTTGTATGATGAATGGTTTTCGGGTTTCGCCAGTTTGTTTGCTTGCAAATAACATTTGCTTTTGCTTCAGCGTTTGCCTTTGCCAACAATTGCATTGGCTCCCTCTAGCCCCACACCGAGGAAGGACGTGGGCTCCTGCACCTGCCCCTGCACCTGCAGCAACTGGCCGTAATTTCCATTTAGCGTATCCCAGTCAGTAAGCTAATAAGGCCTGAGCCGGGCCGAGCCACGTCGCTTGGCCTTGGGGCGGCATCTGGAGCCCAGTCGGGGCTTTATAAATAAGCCCAGCGACGCGATCCCTCGACGCGGGCATTAGCACCTTGCGCTAAGCTCTTTGTGGATTTGTTTGTCTGTGCGCTCGACTCACGGAATTCCAGCTTATTGCCGGCTAATTGCGGCTGGAGCTGATGCACTCGACCCGGTCCGAGGCCACGGCTCTCTCGCTCTCAACAGCCCGAAAAATACAAATAAAATTGTGATTAATCCAGTTCGTTTGGTTGCCATTGGATAAGCCCGTCGAGAAATGCCCAAAAATGTGCGCCGGGGGTTGATGATATTCCTCCTCTGATCCTGTGCCCAGTCAGCCGTTGATCGAACCCTTTTACCCTTCCACCTTCCACTTTTCACCTTTCCCTCACTGAGGGCTTTTTACAACCTGTCAGACATGCACACATGATTTGAAATTAATCGAAAATGTTTCGTGCATGTTTTAAAGGATACGCTCGTTGCTGAACTCAAAGCACTCCAGGCTGTATGCACAAGGACCACAAACTTTAATCGATAGTCAAATAAGCGTCGAGCAGCGCCAGAGTCAAGTCTGGCCTCAGCTCGTCTGAGCGTGTGTGTGTGTGTGTGTATGTGTGTCGCCTGCAAGGATAACAAAGAGCTGCCTTGCACATTGCACTCTCTCCCTCTCTCTCACTCTTTCACACACAATCTCCTATTGTTTGCTGTAATTTCTCTAACGTTTGTTTATATTTTATATTGAATTCGCCTTGGGCCGCATAAACGCAATAATCGCACATTTTATGGATTAAACTCACCTGCTCACCTGCTAATCTATTAAAAATTTACCGCCAGGACCAAAAACTGTCTGCTTTGTGCGTTCAGCTGTAATTGAAGTTTTTCATTTTCATTTTTCTTTTCACTATCTATTTTGCTCCTAACGAATTGGTCGCGTCTCATTGAAATATTCTGAGTTGCTTTAAAAAAAGAAAAGTTAAAATCAGATTTGCTCTGCTTTAAGGTAGATAGATAGAGTTAATCTTAATATAGTTCTAAAAATAAAAACTTAGACGAATGATTGTTGGACAAACTTTGTGATTGACAGACTTTGATGAAGACTCTGAACGAGCTGTCTGGCCTTCCATGTGATTAGCTGATCAACTGATTGATTGATTGCCTAAACGCTGCATAGATAAATTAATTTATCGTCTAATTATCTATAATGGATGATTGTTGATAAGTTGAAAAATGAATTTATTAACTTATAGTCAAATCAGCTAATGAATAAACCGTCTTGCTGTCTTAGCGAATTGACTCATTGACTGAGAGCTTGTAGTCTTAGACTCTCATTGACTTACTTGAAGCTCCGTGAATAATAAATCATTGACAAAATTATAATCAATTAAATTTAACAAATCATCAATAAAAAGTGAGTTTTACAGAACTTTTCTTACCGACAAGATTTAAGCTTATCGATCATCTCCGTTTCCATAAAACTACCATTCAATATATATAACCAAAATATTAAGCCGAAGAAACTGTTTCAATCAGAGCATTTTGAAATGAATTACTAATGGATTTGGGTTGAAAAAAAAAGCCAGGGAAGTATCGAAATATCTGAAGCCTTTAACCAAATGAGTTATTCATTATGGAGTTATTCATTTGAGAGCGAGTCAGCGCTCACTGTCGACGGAATATTAAATAATGAAATATTAAAATCAATGTACAACGTGTTTGCATGGAGTGGGCGTGCTGCGTGGGCGTGGGCGTGGTCAAAGCCAGTGTGTTAACATTGCCCAGTCCGCGGCAAACGAGAAGGTGTTCATGTGAATAAATTGCAATTAACAATATTATTTTTTATTTCAACAAACGAAACGCTGAAGCTATCCGTCATTTACGCAAGGACTCGTACATAAAAAATGGCTCTCATTTAATTAAAGGCAAATTTAATGGGTAAATATTTCATGTGCCACACATAAAGGTCTTTATACACACAGATACACACACACGCGCACACGTTCACATATGTATATGTTTAAATGGGGGTAAAAAAAAATATGACGCTTAAATGTTGGTATAATTTTTATTTTAAAAACAAAAACTTTGTACGCTGTGTGTGCCATGTAAATAGGATGTAAGGGATATGATGGAGGGGCTCAGCAGCAGGACGTGAATGTATATTAAATTTCGTGTTGATAGAGTCGAAAAAAGACAAAAAACAAAAAACAAAAAAATCAACAAAAATTAAAAGGAAGCAAAATAATAAAATACGAAGCGTGCACTAGAAAAACAAAWGAAATCAAATTGAGTAAAGAAATCAAAATTAATAGACTGCAAATATTTGTAAATTTTTACACGAACTATTAACAAGGCTCACACAAACTGAGGGACGACAACTGAGGGTAGCCTGAAATACGAGACTCGAGATGTCATTGACAGGAACGTATCCAAATAATAGAAGCAGAAAGCAGAAAAACAAGGACCTATGCAAATAGTCTGCGTTGGTGAGGGACAGAGCATACAAAATGGCGACGGCAACGAAATCAAAGATGGTTGGTGCAAGGGGCGGGCGGGGGGCGGGGGGCTGGCGAGGTGATGCGTAGAGAATAAATTTGAATTTTGGTCACCTGACATGAGCTCTAGCACTGGTCAAAGGAAAATAACAAGACAAAGATGTAAAAAAAAAAAAAAAAAAAAAAAAAATACAAAACAAAGGACAATACACATGACATAACTGGTCAAGATGGCAGCTCCAAAGGCGAATGGCATGACAACAACAAGAACAACAACAACAGCACAGCAGCAGCAACAGTAGTAATAGCAACAACAGATAACGGTACGAACGATGGCACGACAAAGTCATTGTTCAAATGTCCATTCAACTGTAAATTGCAAAATACAAAACAAGTAGCTGAAGCGAGGCAGTTGAAGTAGAGCAGACAGGAAAGTAGCTTGACAAGTGCCGTTACTAAATTGTTAGGCAACGCGTCTATGCGCCAGACAGAGATGGCTGCTCAGCAAAAGTATGCTTGTGCGTGTGCGTGTGTGTGTGCGCGTGTATTGGTAAATTGCAAAAATGCAAATGAAATCAGACAAAAGTTGAAACAAGCTAAAAAAAAAAAAGAAGAAGCAGCAGCAGCCTGATAGAGATGACAAATACACTTGCAGCTAAACAATAGCTGAATAGCAATAGCTAAATAATTTTTTAATGCATTAAGCTTTCGCTTACACTTATGATTAAGTAGAGCTTTGGGATTGCTTGAATATAATAATTATTTAGTATGGGCTAAAAAACCCTTATAGTCTTCATTGAGCGCAAACATAAAATGAAATATTGGGTTCTTCATTAAGTATTGCTTCTAAAAATGTGCTACCCTTATATTCTTATCAATATAAATCACTTTAAGCTTACAACTTCCCGCTTGTTTTTCTCAGTGTAACTGATATGTGTAGCCCTTGTAAATACATATGCAGCATACATCTGCATGGCTTGCCCTGTGTGTGTGTTGCCATATCTATGCCTTTAGCTAAGCATATCGACATAGCTATCCATGCTCCATTGCCATCTATTTTTACCTCCTTTTCCGGTTCTTGGTATGCAAATTGGTTTTGGCTCTTGTTATGAAAAGGATTCCCCTGAAGTGCTCCCATTTGCTAGTGACCAAGTAGTTGACCTTTTCGACCTGAAATTTGTATCTTGGCCAAAAGTTTTGGGATGTCCCGAGCTAGGTGTGAACCAACACGATGCGGGTCTTCCCGTGCTGCCGATAAACTTTCGGAGCGTAATAAAAAAATCAGTTTCTTATTTTTTTTTTGCTTAATTTCTTTTGGTTTGATTTTTTATTATTTAAATTTTTGTTTGTGTTTGTGTTTTAATAAGTTAAATTTAACATTACATTTATTTAGACTGTTAGTTGCTTATCGCTATCGGTTATCGATAAGTTTACACTTACAATTTAATATGCGCTTTAGTTTTGGACAAGGGGAACACAAGACAACTAGATAAAAAATCACATTCACGCACACACTCACACTCACTGGCATACTCACATTCACACATACATTTAGTAACTGTACATTTGGCTAATTCTCTTACAGCATACACTTCAACAACTTAAAATAATAACAGATTTTCTTCTTCTCTCATGCTTTTTGTTGTCGCTTCTTATTTATATACAAAACAAAATTAGTTTGAAGCGCAGCTGCAAATATATTTACAGTTATTATATTTAGCTTATCTTAGAGCCTAGCTTAGGCCACCTCCAGATCGGAGGATTCGTCCGCATCACTGTAATGATTCGGATCGCTTTTGATGTGCACCAATTGCGATGCGTAGTCGCATTTGAGGCCGGCGTTGCCACCTGTCGTTGAGCTCGTGTGGCCAGAACTATTGCTGCTGTTGTTGTTGCCGCCGTTGTTGTTGGTGTTGTTGCTACCGTTGTTGTTGCTGGTGGTGCTGCCACATTGCTCCTCCTGTAGCTTACGCAGTCGCTCCTGCTCCTCGCGTTTCTGCTTACGCCACTTGGCCCGACGATTCTTGAACCAGACCTGAAGAAAGAGACAGAGATAGAGAGTGAGTGAGTGAGTGCGAGGAGGCAAAATCTTGGCTTAGTCTAGGCAACCTTTGATATGGCTTCAAAAACACTTTCATCCGTTTTTCAAATTATATTTTCCATTATGCTCGACCCGCTCAACTGTAAATATTTTAATGTTTTTTTTCTGTTTCCCCGCATTTTCTATGGCTGCTCCTTTGATTTTCTGGTTTATCTGCGCCCAGTCAGTTGCCTGACAACGCCCCCGCCCCTCGCCACTTTTCCTGCCTCTCGTATTCCGCCTAATTAGTTAGCTTATTGTAACTGTAATTAATGTGTGGGGGCAGATGTATATATGTATATAAATGTGTAAATGTATGTGTGTATAAAAAATGCGGCTCGTTTTCCGCTCGCCGTATTGTATATTTGGGCACTTTTTAATTAGGCTCAGACCACACCCACTCGCCGAGGTCGCCCCGGCCAACCCTTGGCTACTTAGTTAATTAAAACAAAAGCTACAGTCAACTGACTTAGGGGTTAATTTGCTACGGTTAACAGGGCTCCGCGAGTGTGGGTGGGGCAGAGCCACTCAACACCACACACTTTCTCTCTCCCTATCTCTCTCTCTCTCTCACACACACACTTTCGTTGAGCTTCTGCTACGCGTATCTCTTGTCATTTTGCTCCTGTCGTTGTTGTTGCTGTTGTTGTCTCATTGGTAACGGGGTGGAGCCAAATAAACTCAGCTCTGGCTCTCGCCCAATCCCATTGCCAAATGCCAATTGCAGTTGTTATTTTGCAACCCTCGAAATGCTTTTTATTATTGTTTGTTAAATAAATACTCGAATTGTTGCTGCTGTTACTGTTGCTGTTGCTGTTGCTGTTGCTCCTGTTTGCAATTGCAGTTGTTGTTTTGAGACAACAAACCAAAAAAGTTTAATTAGAAAAATTAGAGCTTTCATTTTATTTCATTTCAATTTTTCCTCAAATTTCGCTTTGCAAAGTTTGGCGAGTGCCACGCCCACTGCGCTGCCCGAAACGGTACAATATTTATGCAGCAAATCGACTAAATTCTGTTGAAATAACAGTGAGATAACAGCAGCTGCTCTGGGCTGCGCCAATGACAGCCAACTGCAGTGCAGTGTTGGAAAATGCGCTAAACTCATAAGCAGAGTAGCGGGACCCGAGCAGAGCAGCGTGCCCCAGCATGAAAATAGAGCACAGATCTGCTTGAGCTCATTTAAGTTTACATAAAATTTGTGTAAATTTGTGCAGCTGTTGTTGGCTGTGCGAGCGAGTGAGTGGATTGGGGGAAGTGGAGGCTGTCGAGCGAGGGGAGGGGGCTGTTGGCTTATTTGCTTAGGATGGCAGCAAAATGGCGGCGCCCTGGCAACCTTTGAACTGAGCTCAGCTCGGCAACGCAGCCAATTTACGTTTGAAAAGTGTGCGTGTGCCTGTGTCTCGGTGTGTGTGTGTGTGTGTGTGTGCGGCAGTTAGGCAGTGGGCATGGTCACGCCTCGTTGCAGCTGTCAGAATGCATTTGTGACAAAATTTAATAACGCAATCTAATGAATTTTTGAATTCAATTTTACAAATGGCCTGCGGGAAAGCAGCTGTGTGTGTGTGTATGTATGTGTGTGTGTGAGTGTTTGTTTTGCTCTATTTATTTTCATAATTTTATAATTTTATGAGCTTAAGTTATTAAAACCACTCACACACGCACACACACACACACATACAGAGAAATAATCTGCAGCGATTTCAATGCATTTTTCAAAGCTTCAAAAAAACATAAAACAATAAAAGGACTTAGATTGAACAGCTAGTTAATACCCTGTATGTACGATTGAGGTTTGGGAATGCCTTTTAGATATACTTCAAGCTTTGACAGCAGATGAGCGCACTTGAAGCAGGCTTTACTGTAAGGAACTTAGTCTAATCTAATCTAATCTAATCTTAATTTCTTTGCTTATTGAGAGATCGAGAGAAAAGCAATAGCTATCTCTCCTTGCATATACACTTCGGCCACAGGGTATCTGGCCATGAATTTAGCTAGCCGCTTAACTATGTCAACATGCCAGCCGAATCGAATTGCCTATGCTGCAAATTTAATGCGAATAATCTAAAAATCAGTTTGCAAAAAAATATTGCACAAAAAACTCTTTTTTTTTTTAATATATGGCGTGCGCTTGTGGCTGATTAAAATTGCATATTTTAATTAACTCGTAGCCAGGCGGTCGGCGATACGCATCGAACTCTAATCCGACGGGCAGCGGTTGCCCGGGCAAAAAACCTAATCCCGTAATTTCTACGGCCAACAACGTTCGGGCTATGCACATATGTATATATACATTTATATATATAGCTGTGGGTGATTGTGTGGGTATATGTGTGTGCGAGCATTGTCCCTAACCTGAGGCAGTTGCCACCCCGTTTAAAATCTGACTAACGCACAACATTTGCAATGGCCGCGGGCGCCTTTTTTGCAGCCAACAAAAAGTTGCCAAAAATCGCAGTGAAAATTTTGAGAAATTAAATAAACACAAGTGAAAACAAAAAAGTACATGTGTGACGGTGCGGTGTGTGGTGCGCGCTGTGGAGTAGTCTGTGGTGCTGGCCTATGTGTATCAATGAAAGTGGTTCGCATGCAAATCGAGCGGCGACGGCAGCTTCAGTTGCGGCGGCTGCTTCGCAAAAAATGGCTTGCAAACACAACAAAATGGCCGCCGCTGGAAGCGACAACTTGGCATGCATGGGCAGCACTGCGATCGGGGCAGGAAGTAGGCAAGAGGCAAGAGGCAAGGCAGCAAGGCAGCAGGCAGAAGGCAGCGGCAGCGTCTGGCAAATATTGCCACAGATTTTTCAGGCAAAAGCGCATAAATCGCTGATACGTCGAAATCCGTGCGAGTCAAGTGAGCATTGCAGGCCAGGGCAAGGAGGCGTCGGCGTGACGCAATGGCAGCGTGCATGAAATCCATTGAACAAACAGACCGACGGCAGTTGATTTTTAATTAACTACAAAAGCGCTTTATGGCCGCCCCCACCGCCACCGCTCGGCCAGACACAGCTTGTGGAGGCGGCGGTAGTGGTAGTGGAGGCGTGGCAGACAAAACGTGGCGTTTTCTGTTATTGTTTGATTTTTGGCAACGTAAAATGTGCTGACCAGCGTCATGCCCATGCAGGATTACCAAAATGCAGCACAGCGTAAAATGTTGCCACATAACTGTATAAACACACACACACACATGCACAGAGAGATGCATGTGGGTTTGTGTGTGTGCGCTACGCAGTCATATTGTCGCTGTGCTATGATAACTTTGCGCTTCGTTAATCGCCGCAGCTGTGCGCCTAATTTTCATGTTTTTGCAGCCTCGCAAAACGTAGCCAAAAACCAAACAAAACTCTGCCAAAAGTCAAGTTGAAAAATTGTCCCTGCACTTGATTGGCACACGTGCGTGACTGTGTGTATCGCTCGCTCTCTCTCTCCCACTCTCTTACTCACTCGCTCATTGCTACTGTGTATGTAGGTGGGGCCCGGGGCCAGGCAAAATGGCGGCTGCCATTGCACAGTGCAGAACGAGCTGGTTGCTCTAATTAGTGAAAATTGGCAACGCAAGTCGGTTGGAAAGTTCGTCACCAACACTGGCAAGCGCTATTTGCTGCTGTTGTTATTGTTGTTGTTGTTGTTGTTGTTCATGTTGCTGTTTCCGTGTTGTTGGATTAAAAATCGCGCAGCCGTGAAAATTGCTCGTTACGGCTACAGCTGCGTACGCTTCGGTTTTATAACGCAACAAGGCTGCTGACGACAGAGGCAAAAACTAAACCTTTAACTGGTTACGTGCTTGCAGAGTTCGCTAATTAAAGACGTAAGACTCTTATCAGAATTTCTCAATTGCAACAAATTGTCCTTGACTTATAAATATACTACTACAGTGGAACCATTGCTTAACAATTCATTCATCCAACAAGTGAAAAGTGAATAAAATATCGATAGTAATCGAGTTATGCAATTCTATTTGACAAACGCAAAGCAGAAATGTTAGCGAAAATTACAAAAACTAAGTAAATGCGGGGCTGCTCTGACGCATGCATTTCTATTTATAGACGATCACAGTTAGAATTGCAAATGTATGTATTTGTGTACGCATGAATGTTGAGTAATTGAGCTGGCAAGCATAAGCAGTGCAACGCATGTAAAATATAATTTTTGTCTCTCTCACACTCTCTAATTTCTGCTTCGATCAACAGGCAAATGGCAAGGACAAAATGGTCGCACCATTTGCGGTAATTTGAAGAGTCGCCAGCGCGTGCGACAGAGACGTCATGATATTCTTATTGCATGGGTGAGTTAAGCACTTCTTTACGTTTGAGTGATAAGGTGCGCTGCAATTATGTCAGATCATAGCTTATGCTTCGTTAAGTATAAAAAAATGCCTTAAAATAATGTAAATTTTTACGAAAAAAAACGTTGATAAAGAAAACATTTTAACTGTGATTAATCGCTGGCCGCAAACCCCGCTGGCTGTGTGTATGTGTGTGTGTGTATGTGGGGCTGACCTTTTAAAAGCTTAGCGACGTGCACCTGTCCAACTCATCCCTGCCAACGCCCTCCCGCTACTTTCTGCACCCAGCTAAGCTCAGGCTTAGCGCTTTTTGTGTAAATTTATGCAGCTTCGAGGCCAATTTTCGCTCCACACAATATTTGTCTATGGTTACACGCTTCGACAGCCAAAACTGTAAAGCAAACAGGAAGCAAATGTACAGAAATCTCTCCCCTGCCAACCACTCATCAACCCAACCTCAGCTCCCTCTCTCGCTCTCCACCTTTGTGTGTGCCTGGGGCCACAAACGCACTTTGCGCCGCAAAAGTCCCGCGAGAATTGAGAGGCAGCAGCAAGAGCGACCCTTAAACGTTGTCGACGCGCACACACTCACACACGCACATAGAGCGTAAGGCGTAAAATTGCGAAAGCGAAATTGCTCTCAAGTGTTTGAATAATGGAAATTATGAAAAATATAACAACAAAAAATAACAGCAGCATCGGCGGGGGGCACTGAAGTGGTCCGTGTGAGTTTTTGCGGCCAGTGCAACAATGTGGCAACGCTGCGTGGTGGGTTGGTGGGTGCTGCGTTCAGTGGTTTGCTGTTTGCCCGCAGGCCACTTTATTGTTGTTGTCTGATTTTATTATTTTATTTTTATTTTTTTTTTATTTTTGGAAATTAACGAAAATCTGCTGATTCCAGCTCATTGCCATTTTAATTTCATTTGATTCAAACACTAAACAAACAAAGAGAAGAGACTGAGGAGCACGGCAGCACTGAGAGAAATAGCTACTGGGTACTAAGAGCTACTGGGTACAACAGCTTGTATGAATCATATCCATTATTTCAGCACTAATTTAGATTATTTCTAAAATCGTTTCACTGCTCACTTTAAGAATCTTTGATCTCAGCTCCACTTGAGCTGATACCCAAATATGCCTGATTTATTTCTCCAAGTGTACTTCAAGTGTTTTGTGGGTGGGCGTTCTGTTAATGTGTTTATTATTGCTACTGAGAGTTGCAATAATAATAACGATGATGTTGATGATGATGATGATTAGAATAACACTAATAGCAGGAGCAAGAGCAATTGCCTAATTGCTGCACCGCAGGTGGCCCAGATCCCGAGCCACTTGATTGTGCAACCCACACATCAAAGCGGCAACAAAAAGGGGCAAGGACTCACAGTGTCTCTCTCCCTTTGAGGCCGGCGCGCAAATCCGAGCCACTGCGATCACACAATGGCCCAATGAGTGAGCACATTCTATGTTGACCCTTTTCTCTTCTTCTGTTCGAGAAACCCAAAAGCCAACAAAAATATTTAAAGAGCCGAATAGAGAGAGGGAGAGAGGCAAAGGGTGGAAGAGAGTGAGATAGTGAGATGCTTACTAATTTCTTGGCGACGACAAAGATAAATATTTGCGCTGCGCTTGAAGAGTTTATTGACTTGGCTACGACTACGACTACGACTCGGCCTCTTATGGCYATAATGAAGATCAGCAATATGATAATAATGCTTGCTGCTGATGGTGCTACTGCTGTTTGGGAATCTGGAATCGGGAATCCGAAAATGAAATCACCTCAATCACTTGAGCTGCGGGATTAGGCGTATTTGACTTGCACGCACCAACGAGAACAAAAAAACAAAGAGCATCTCAGCCAGACTGAGATTGAGGCCCCGGGCTGAGCGGCTGTGTGGTCAACTCTCTCGCGCCCAGCTACTGTTTTACCCAGCGCAGAGAGCCAGCGAGGAGCGGCGACAGCATGCTTGCCCACTCGACTGTCTAAATAAAAATAATAATTGTAAATGATGAAGTCAAAATAAGCAGATCATTTAAATGGCGATGGGAACCCAATTGCGCATACAATTTGTCATTTTTCCTGTGCTTATCATATATACACACATATAAATGTATGTATGTGTATGTATACCCTGTAATTATTGCTATAACTTCTCGATTGCAATGACAGCATTTATGAACTCTGTCTAGATTAACTTAAAGCGGGATATGTAGAGACTTAGTATAGAATATGTTAAGATATTATATACATATATACATATACATATATATATATATACTGTATTTCATAATTCTGTATATATTCAATTAATTTACTGTCTTTTTCACTGATTTACTAGATCATAAGTGATAGCTAGAGTATATTATACTTATATAGGTATTTCTGCAGAAACGTCTACTTTTTTATACCCTCCCTTTGGTTTTTTTGTTTTTTAATTAAATAAAAAATGCTACTAAAAAGTTAAACGATTGCAAAAAAACTTGTTTATTTTTAAGCATAGTGAATTTTCAAGATGATTACAAAAATACTCTGAAATATTTTCTGAAGAAATGTCCCCATATATTAAGTTCACTAAATACCAAATACATTTTAGTCAGTCTCATACTCAACCTAATATATACATAGTTTCTCTCTCTTTCACGCTCCAGCATATTTTATAAAATTAGTCTTTGTCTTTATATTTTGTTACACTAGTATATCCTATAACGTGTTATACATAGTATAATATTAAAATGCATATTTGTATATCATAGTACTGCAAAAACACATAATACTAATTTAATTAATATATGCTGCATTTCTACAGGGTATCTGTAAAGCGCATACTTTCGCCTGCTCGTTCGCTAACTTGTTTGGTGATTGCTGCTGCTGTTGTTGTTGTTGCTGCTGCTGCTGTTGATGCTGTTGTCTTAGGCAAGATTTTTAATAATTATTGCCACTTATGGCATTGCCATAGAGCCAAACAGAGAGTCAGCCGAGAGCCAGCAGAGCGGGAGGCGTTTGAATGGATGCGGAATCTGAAGCGGACGCGGACGCGGACATGGGCGTAGGGGTCTTTAAGTGGTTGGCTCTCTCGGGACACTTGGCATGCAAATATGCTAAACAGTAGCCGAGTGGCTGCCCCTGGCAGCTGTTTGTCTAGAGCAGCGGGGCGGCAGCGAGGCGGCAGCGGTGCCTCAACTGGAAGACGCCGCTCAAGTTGATTATGCTGCTTAAGTCAATGGCGAGCGATGACGGTGCACAAGATTTTGGATTTGGCTGCTTTGGCATAATTGTTAGTGTTGTTGTTGTTGTTGTTGTTGCTGTTGTCTCTGTCAGAGACAAGTTTCAAGTCGCTTTCTTGTATGTTAATTAAGCCAGCTAGTCGTCGCTCAGCCTGCCCCCCTTCTATGACCAGCAACTTTTTGGGGGCTTAGAGCTGCTTGCCCAATTTCAATTAAGCTGTTTGTGAAATATCCCAAGCCAGACAACAACAGAAAAGAAATATCAAATCTAATCAAATTCCCAAGCCCAGAATCAGTTACAGAACCCCCAGCCAGTGCATATCCTAATCCGCTTAGAATGCGACGGCTTTTGAGTTTGTCGCCTAGGCGAAGGCGTCAATTGCGCCTGCGGGCTAATGTCACAGCAGCAGCAGCAGCAGCAGCAGCAGCAGCAACAACAACAACAAGAGCAGCAGCTTGTTACGCAATTTAATGCTAAATAACTGTTGGTTATCTTAAGCCGAACGGCAAACACGAACTACAAGCATAAACACAACCCCTTGGCACACACACACACACACACACACACCTTTCGAGTGAGTCTGGGCACACGCAAATGTCAACAAATGTCGCACTTGGCGTGCTTCCACTATGCAGTGGGTGGGGCGGGTGGTTGGGGTGGGTTAGATTCAACATTGACCGGCAGCATATTGTCAAAGCGACGCTAATCCTTATCAAGGACGCCTAGTCAGCAAGCGCGATAACCCACCTTCAATCAGCAGCTCGCTAATCACTCAACAAGAACAACAACAGGAAGAGGAGAAGGAGGAGGAGGAGGAGGCGTCGCTATCAGCGCCATCAATAAATTGCTTAGAAATTAAATTGTCAACTTTTGTCGTCGCACTCAACCGAAAATTAGTTGTTTATTCGCCCCGCAACACTAATGGACTTTGAATGGCTTGCACCACCAGCCGCACATGGCAAGCCGCACCACTCGCTGAGATTTGTTGCTGATTTGCCTAATGTGAACTCTCTGGCCAGGGAGGGTTGTAAGCGCCGCCCGGGGTAGGCTTTGGCCGGCCCCGGCGCGAGAGGAGGAGGCAGAGCTCGCCGGGCTGCTCTCTGCTCTGTTTACATTGGCAATGATACGGCCTAACCTCAATGCTGAGGGCCAGCCTGTGGCCCATTACTCAAATTAAGTGAATCAGGACATTGTTTTGCTGTTTGTCTGCCGGCGCTGGCAGCGAAGCCAGACAAATGCTAAACGCTGACAACTAAATAAACAGCAAGAAGTTCACATCGAGCGAGATTGCACTGCAGATGGATGTGGATGTGAATGTGGATGTGGATGTGAATGTCGATGCTGAACAAAGAGCAGCAAGGGCAGGACGAAAGGGGGCGGGTGGCGGCACTCAATTGGTTTCGCGCGCAGCATTAAAACGAGCGTGAAATTAAGGACTTCCACTCATTGGAGATCGGATTCACGCTTTAACCACTTTGTAATTGAATTGGATGCTTGAAGGTGGCTATCTAATGGCGGGACTTGAGGCTTGCTTTAGAGAGTTTTTGAACGAAATATGTTGCATTTCTATTTGGTTTTAGAATGTGTTAAAATATTTCAACTAATTGATTGGCCAATCGGTTAATTCAATCAGTTTCAAATGGATTTTCGCCTATTTTATAAGAACTCAGCTGATACTACACTTTAATTATTGAATATATGATCATATCCTTTCATGCCTGTTGTCATGAAGAGATATTGGAAATTTTGTTTAACTCTCTTCAACGCTCATCTTGTTAAGCTTTTAGATCTGTCCGATAGATATTGAAGTCTAGTATTTAAAACACTTCGGATTCTTTAGTACACTTATGTCTTTAGTCCTCTGTACTAAGCTAGTACCTAAAAGATATTTCTTCAGGCTTTAACAGTTATAACTACTTAATTACTACTCTCATAGTAAACCCCTATGTCAAATGAATCGCAATACTCGAACCAAATAAATACCTATCCGCAGATCATGCTTATCAGCTCTATAATTCCTTTGTAGATAGCAATACTTGGTCTAAATAAATACATATTCACAGATAACGCTTTTTAGCTCTACAATTCCTTCCCCATGTACCCAAACAACGCCTGTGGAAGAATCCCTTTAACCCAGCATAAATTCACTTAGACATCGACTTACCTCCACGCGCTCCTCCTTGAGATCAACTTTGAGGGCGAGCTGCTCGCGCAGCACAACATCTGGATAGTGCGTTTTGTCAAACGTGGCCTCCAGTTGCTCCAGCTGCTCCTCGGTGAAGATAGTGCGATGGCGACGCTTGCGCTTCGGCGGCGGCCCATGGCCCAAATGGCCCAGGCCCAGGTGGTGCTGGGCATGGTGGGCCAAATGCGGATGCGGATGGGCGTGCGGATGATGCGGATGATGGCCGTGGGCGGAGAGGCCAGCGGCCGCAGCAGCCGCGGCGCCATGCCCACTGACGTGCGCCTGCATCTGGGCGGCGGCGACGTGAGCAACGGCCGCGGCATGCATATAATTGGGATAAAAGTTGGGATAGGCCACTGCGAAGGCAAAAGAAACGCTGATGAAATTCATGTGGAAAACAATCGAGAGCGGAACGAGAAATTCTTTAAAATGCGCATAACAAAGCTGAACAAGCAACGGCGGTTGTCATGTGGCGCGCTTCCGCTTGCAATGAAGCGCCCATTGGGGCGGGTCGGCTTGGGGCAGGGGAAAAAAACGGGAAGAAACTTTGACGTTTTAATTCATTCATGCCTAGGCGACGAGGGCCTTTGAATTTGAATGTGGCGCATGTGGAAGCCAGGACGAGCGTTTGCATAAAATTGCGTGAGGGAATCCCACGCTCGAATCAACATAAGACCCCAGCCAATGGACTGATAGCAAACCGCCCGGCGACACACAACCCCCTGCAGTGGGAAGTGCTGGCAGGGCTTACAATGCAAATCCTCTCACCGCAGAAATGGAACGGAATTCGAAATCATCTTTCACGGATCAATGCCTAATTATGAATAATGCCATTCAGGCAAAAAGAAAAAAAAAAAACATGTGGAAATGTGGTTCAATAAATTTTGGAATCCGTTCAACGATCCAAAACAGATAACCTTAAGGTGTTTGCCAGCTCAACAGAAGCCGGAGAAGTTGTGCCAGCGGGCCGAGGGCGTCAATGAACCCAGCCCATTCGGAGTTGGGCTCGGTCGTCTCTACTCACCTAGGAAATCCGATGGGGAGGCTGCGAAGCCACTCGCTGCTGCCGCCGCCAGATGACCGAGATGCAGGCCAGGATGCTGCAGCATGGCAGGAACCCGCTGCGGTCGGATCGGGCTGGCTGCGGCGCTGGAGCTCGAGTTGGAGTTGGGCGAGGCTGGCGACTCGGTGCTGCGTTTGACCAGACCCAGGCCCAGGCTGCCATTGATGCTGATGTTGTTGTGATTTATGTTATTGTTGTTGTTGTTGTTGCTGCTGCAGTTATTGTTGCTGTTGCCGTTGTTGATGTTGTTGCTGTTGCTGGCAGCAGCAGCTGCCGCTGCATTGCGTGAGCCCAGAATGCTGTCTATGGTGAAGAGCGAGGCGGCAGCAGCGGATGCTGCAGTGGGTCCACTTACGCGCGGACGCTCCTCATCCAAAATGGTGGCGCCCGACTGGGAGCCATCGTCGGAAGACGGCGTCTGCGATTGTGGCTGCTGTTGTTGTTGATGATGCTGCTGCTGCTGTTGTTGCTGTTGCAGCACCGATTGCAGCCGCTGGCCCAGATAGCCGCATTGCTGGGAGTTGAGCAGCATGGCGGTGGTCAGGTGGTAGGCGGCATTGCTGGCATTGGCGGGCGAGCGCGAGCGCTGCATTTGCCGTGGCGGCTGCTGTTGCTGCAGCTGTTGTTGGTGGTGCTCGCCCAGATCGGTGGCGCAACGCTTAAGCACGTAGGCCGCCGGCGGTGAATTTGTTTCGACCATGTGACCGAGTGTGCTGGGCGGCGGCGTTGGGGGCGGTGAGCCCGGCGAGGGACTGGGCGTGCTAACAACGGTTATCTTGAACTTGGCCTTGGCCGAACTGCTGTCGCTGCTGGCGCCTCCCGCTAGCTGCGACGGCGTGGTCCACAGTGATGACAGAATTTTGGCGGATTTTGTATAGTGACTTATATAAGAAATAATTGTTAACTTTGCTATTGGTAATTGTCACGCTAGTTGTAATTCACACACACACACGCACACACATGCAAGCACGCACAAGCACTTGAAACACACACGCGACGTGTCTTGGCTTGTGACTGAAGAGATTTTGCGTGCTACTGAAACTGAACCCTTCTTGTTCGCTCGAGCTACGAAACTGTTTTGAATGCCACGTTCAGCGGCGGCAGCAGCAGCAGCAGAAGTAGCAGAAGCAGCGACGACGCGCACGACAAGTTGTCAATCTCTCTAGCATACATACTCATGCACTCCCTCTCTCTAGCATTCATACACACACACACCCATACACAAGGCAGACATGTTCGTGCTGCGACCAATCAAAAAGCAGCTAAGCCTAGCTGAGTCCACGCCTTTGCGCTCGCTCTTGCTGCCATACAGAAAGCATAAAGACAGAGAGAGAGAGACAGACAGAGAGAATGGGCGCGAGAGCAAGTTTCTGCTGAGAGCGCGTACTATACGTTTAATATGGTTGTTGTTGTTGCTTTTGCTTTTGCTCTTGCTCTGTTTTGGTGGTGGTGGCTGATATGGTGGACGCCCTCTGGCTGCCGCTGTGCGTTGCGTGAGTGCGACATCTACTTCATCCGCATTTACCGTTACCCGTTAGCTGGCCGCAAAGATGGCGCGCTCAAAAGATAATGCTGAGCTGTCTCTCTGCATAAAGCTTCCGTCTGCTATGCTACTGCTGCTGCTGCTGCTATTGCGACGTGGGCGTGCTACTCTCTCTCGCTGCTGCTGTTGCTGCTGCTACAGTCGCTGCTGCTGCGTTTTTTTGCTGTCTTTCTTTTCCCTTCTGACAGTTATTTATACAGATAAAGTCATCACTGACAGCCCCCGCGGCTCGTGTCAGCGTGCGAGCAAGCGAGTGCGCTATATATAGGCTAAGCAGCTCGCACTCACACTTCCAAATATTGCTGTAATGTGGAAAATTATGTGCTGGAGTTCGCGCTGTCGAGATTGTGCTTGCGCGGGGGGTTGCGCGGCCGTTGTCGACTGCGCTGCGCGGCGCCGTATCTTAAGAAGATAATGACTAAATTAATGCTTTTATGTTTTTGGCAACACATAAACATCATTATGCGCTCAATCCTCGCTTGGGCGCACGCTCCTCCAGCGTTGGGCGGGCGAGTGATGGGCATGGGCGGCAGCTGCGGCTGCGTCTGCTTATGTATTGGCCAGTTGAATGTGTCGGCTTGTATATAGACTGTGTGTGTAAGCGTGCGTGTGTGTGTGTGGGGAAATCTCTGAAGTCAGCGCCATTTACTGATTAACTGGATGGAGCAAGAGCGGCATTGTGTTATGTTAGATCGGGTAACGGGACATTGTTAACTGTACTTATGCACATGTATGCATGCATGTGTTTGAGTGAGTGTGTGTGTATTCGTGTATGTGTTTATTTGTGCATATGAAAATATTTTAATCTAAAGTTTCCACATCAAACATGCCCAAATGCAAATCCCAAATGTCCTCCGGGCCACCAAGCCAAATGCAGCAAAAGCACAAACTAAGCATTGTCTAATGATAAATGCACTGGCAGAGCCAAACCTAAACTGGACGCCCCAAAACCATATGCTATGCTACAACACGAGTGGAGTCGGGTGGAGTCGGGCGGAGTCGAGTTGGTGGCAAGTGGCTTATGTGCATGCAGCTCGTATGTAACCAACTGATTATGTGGCCACCGCCCGCGCTCTGTACAAGGATGAAAGGATCTGGGCGAAATGGGCGACAAAGGCGACATGTACGACCTGTGCTGCTGCTGCCGTTGCCGTTGCTGCTGTTTCTGTTGCTGTAGCTCTGCTGCGCTCGAATGTTGCCAATGCTTTTAGAAATTATTGAATAATTAAGCATGCCAGCAGCGATTGCTCCAACTCCAGTCTCCACACTTCTTGCTGCCAGCCAGCCATTGGAGCGTTAATAGTCAGCATCAGCCGGAATATGTGTATGTGTGTGCATGTGTGTGGGTGTGTGGTAGTCGTAGTGGACCTTGCTCGTCTGTCTACTATTTGTTTTTGCTCTGAACTTCTTACATGAACCAAAACCAGCAACTCCCGACGGGAATTGGCGACATACACACACACGCACACACATACTACCACTCACAAACATGTGCATACAAGTGGAGTGCGCCTCGATAAGCTCAAAAGTTGGGCTGAAGCAGCAGGATCCAATTCTGCAACTTTAGTAGCATTTGGATTTTTATTGTTATGCTCTTACAGAGGGCATTCCGAAAATGTTTAGTTAGTCTGAAATATATTGATGGATAGATATGCAGGTAGTTGTCTTTAGTCTTTAGCTTTATGAAGTTGATGATCATTGATGAAATTAGTTATGAATGCTTATCATTTTTATATTAGAATGTTAGTATTAGAATGATTTGCATATAATGAAAGTACGAAAAATAATTGAGATATATTTGAAAAATATCTATGTGTATCGGAAAATATTGATAAAAACTAAAAAGTATCAAATAAATAGGATATACAAATATGTATCTTACAAATTTGTAAAACGATAATATGAATTTAATTTAGGTATCAAATATATTTAAGAAAATTATTGATATATAAATTGGTTGCCTTGTTCTTGAACATTAAAAATCTTTGATATTGAGCTGATTGGTAATGTGAATGAAAAATTGATAATATTTATTATTCTATTTATGGTACATTTTTGCTGTAGGCGGAAGTTATATATAGACATTCCGATTATGAAACATATTCTTTTGGGTTCCATAAGAGCAAGCATATATAATCTTCGACTTGATTCAATACATCTCTTCTCTTCAATTTTTTCGCTTGCTCACGTTGGCAATCGCACATATTTTTCGCACATATTTTTTCTTTCATTTCATTTCATTTTCTCTTTCTTTTTTTTTTTTCGCAATCTGAAACTTTGATTCAGTGTTTTGCTGTAGTCGGTTGCCGGCACTTTTTGTTTTAGTTCGTAGATTGAATTTTAAATAACAAATTAAATTAACTCGACTAAGTATTGTGCGAGTCTTTGGCAACGCTCTCAGCAGTCGAGCGAGTGACTGCTCGAGCGTCCACTGGAAAAAGTTCAATTGGCAAAGGACTGTGTAAACACAGTGGGAATAAAAGGTTTTTCTACTTTTGCTACTTCCTTTTGCTGTTGCTTTTGCTTTTGCTATTGCTATTGCCCGATGCTCGAGTCGTTTATCAAGGATTTTTATTTTTATTTCGATTTCGATTTTTCAATTCGATTTTGATTTCGCGCCGGCGGCAATTTGTTGCTCTTTGCTTGAGCGTCAGCGTTTGCCAAATTAGAAAAGTTTCAATTTTTTTTTTTAGCTCCGCTCAGTGATTGAGGAGTGATAAGGGGGTGAGCGGAAGGAGGCAGCGCGTGTGAGCTTTGGGTATTTGTCTAGTTAAAAATTTAAGCGAATTGCGAATGGAAGCCATGCCGAAGCCAACTGCTGCCTGGTGGCTGATGCCTTATGCCTTATGCCTTATGCCTGCTGCTGACATTGATATGTTAATGGAATCGTCGTCCAGGCATCTAATCCTCGCCTCTCAGCCACCCTGCTCGACGGTGGCTGACACCGGTTTCCCATTCGCTTTTTACTTGTCAATTAAATGTTTAATCCAAATATCGTTTTATGCGTCGCAGTTGCGCAGGCATCAAGGGATCAAGCCCCGGGATCAGTATCCGGATCAGTTTAATCTTGCGATATGCGTAAGCGTGCAAATTGCTATGATTACGCATGCGTCATGATCAAATGCGCCAGCAAGAGAGAGCGAGAGAGAGAGAGAGCGAGAAAGACAGCAAGCGAGAGCTAGAGCGAGAGGCAGCAATAACAATCGCGCATACAACAAAAGGTGCAATAAAACCTTGCATGCGGCCGTACATAAAATGGAAAACTGGAATTGCACAAAGCCCTAAATCAAACGGAGCGAGAGAGAGGGAGTGAGAGAGAGGGAGTGAGAGAGAGGGAGTGAGAGAGAGATAGAGTGAGGCAGGAAGGGAATGAGAGCGTGCGAGTGATAAATGTGGATGAATGAAGCGGGGCGTGAGGCGAACCCAGCAAAATGGCCGCCCGAGGTGGACGATCCTGCAGAGCAGAAGCAGCTGCTGCCCCTGAAACACAGACGAGTGCAAACAAGCAGCGCACACTTTGGTCTGTGCTCTGCGGGTTTCTGTTTAGCCATAAACAAATTGTAAATCGTGCATTGAGATGTTCGAGTGGATATTTATATTGACATATCCTAACCATATACAACATAGATATGTGGCAGCCCCGTGAGAGATCTCTCCTACATTTGCATTGGCTATAAATATGCTCAACACGGTCGATTGAGGCTTAGGCAGATGCATAGGAATAACAATAGATTTATGGGCATAGGCATTGGCATGAACTTGAGTTACACTAACTAAAAGGTTTGATTTTCTTAATACGTTACTATAGCTTATGATTAGGCTTAGCAATCTCTTGATATCTTTTTCATTTCGGAATCGTCTTAGTCAAATACACGAAATGTATTCTCATTCTTCCTGTTTAAAGATGTGCATATATCTTCATATTGAGGCATATCATTCAGATTGAAAGTCTATACAAATTCATAGAAACTATTGAGCTAACTTACAATATGTATACCTAACTATGTTTATTAACGTATATAATTTATGGTCTGAATCCATGAGCCGGTAAAGTCATATTATTAATATTATTCCCATAATTCGTATTATGAATTCATGAAATATTTATTCCTGTTTACTACAGGCGATATGAGTTTCTCATTTTTTCCAGAGTTCACGACATTTTTCTTTATTATTGATGCAGATCCATAAATTTATTTCGATTTGTCATCGTAAATTGATTCCTACACAAATTGGAAACTTAATTTTTGGTTAGGGTTTTTATAATGACCTCACAGATTTTTACATATTTTGGATTATCAATATCTCTCCCGTTCTCCAAAAATCATGACAAACAATTGAAGAGAAATTTTAAAGTTAA